TTTGGCAACTGTACAAGTAATACTTTTGACTGTCGAAAGCGCGAGGAAACGATGCTGGAGAGAAGTGATACCGGGTTCCGTTTGGGACTCCATTCTCTTCAAGATGTAGCGTCTGCGCCCGTATCAGAATCCTGCAGCGAAGACGCAGTCCAAGGCCTCTAATAGGCAGAAGTGAGAGGGCGTAGACAAACAGCACTTTGGTTATGGTTAGAGGTGGGGCTAGTCGTGCTGTAGCGCCGGCGGAGTCCTAGACGACTCCCGGGCGGGTGCCACTAATGTTCATCCTCGTAGCCGTGCAAATTTGGATGGACAATGTAGTACGCCGCTACTGCTACGGACCCATCCACCTCAAGCGAAGCCTGGGTTCTCATGGGTGGATACAGTTTGCTTTGAAGTGGTAGCGCACTCGCTTGGGAACGAAACATCAACGTTTACATCGGCTGTCATCTGAAAGTTGCTGTAGGGGGCAAATCGCATTCAGATGTTATAATGATTCTGAATGTCGGTAAGGTGTGCAGTACTACCCAAAAGGGACTAATCAACGCTGAGCGAGCTGATTTTTTTTATTTTCAAGTTCAGTTTGTTCCAGAACATTGAACGAAACGTAAGTAATGGTGAAGATTCGGTATGTAGCCGAAGCGATGATGAAGAGCGACCCACCGCGGAAACCAATTGGTTCACTAGCCTGATCAATGAAAGAAGAAACGGAAGAAAGAAAAAGAGCAGAAAGGGAGGCACAAGAAGACGAGAAAGTGAAAGCGAAAGCGACGAGGAATGGATTATGGAAAGAGATCGGCTTCTGATAGAGTGAGTGTTTTTTGGAATATTAACAAAGAGTCGGGCATAGTTTAAGAGACCCGAATTGTGGCAAATGAAGTTGTAGTGTAGCATTTATCTATATCATACAATATTTAATTTTTTTATTTTATCATTTTTATATATTTCATTGAACTGAGAGGGTCAGAGCGGCCCCGTCAGCATTCTCATGAAACCTTCGGAACGTGAAGTGCACCCTGAAACAACAGTTACTATGAGGAAATAACTTCTAAACACTTCCATTGTCTGCTCTCAATCAGTTTGCTAATTATTTGCTGTTTTCAACTTTTTAACTTTTTTTGATATAAGCGATTGCATCTGCTTGCTAGTTGCTCAACTTTAGCGATAATCTTAATTATGCGGTAATACGCATTTTACAAAATCATCTCGAAAAATTCGACAAAATAATGATGGTGATCTATTTTCCGTATTTATTTCCGTTCTGCAGTAGTTTTTCTTGCAATATTCAACTATTACTACTCCGAAATCTCAAATGTTTTGTTTTGCCGGAACTTGGTTACTTGACGGAGGGGGGGGGCGGGTTCTGGAGGGGGCATGGGGGCTTACCCAGTGCCCTGACCACGAAGATGACATCTGTTTTTGACACCAGCGCCAGCTTGGCGCTACGACTTTATCTCTACCAGACTCGCTACTAATTGCTTTTGAGGCTGATTGGGGGAACCGATCACGAGCATAAGGCTCACTTTTCAGCTCCAGCACCGTTTAATGTCCGGATATGGCTGAGCTCGGGAAAAGGAGTGATCCCCTTTCCCAGCTCAGACTTTGTAGAGTATAGACGATCAGAGTCCTCTGCGTTGACACTAACGCTACAAATGATTGTCATATGCATGACAGGGCGACAAATAAACCTAGTGTACAAGTTTATCCGAGTTTTGGTGGAAACGGTGGTGACGCTAAGTTGGCGCCGACACTAATCTGACACCAAGTTGCCTTGGCAAGAACGAATGTCATTTTCGTAACCAGGACATCAAATGAATGCGGGCCTGAGCTAATTTTGGTGAAAAAAGCGGTGGCGCCAACTTGACACTGGCACCAAAATAATACTTCATATTCGTGATGAGGGCACAGAGCGATCTACGCGCAAAGTTCTAGCAAAAGTTTTCCGAGTTTCCTGGAGTAATAGTTGAGTAGCACCGTTTTCCTTTATGAATCGCTAAACGGCGACTAGTGTACGGTGCTACTGTGGTTGATGGGGGCCACGCGACGGTGCGACGAAGGCCGCGTGCAGACTCGGATTATCCGCGCTCTTCAAGGTTGAGCTTGATGGAAGGGATTACATCGTCCCACTATCCAACAGTCTATTTCAGAAACGTTGATTTGGAAACTGACATTTTCGAGTTGGACTGGGAGCTTACGCGTTTACAAGGACGCGCGTGCGAAATTCTGCGACAAGTTGATTTCCTCTGCTCGAGTAATGGAAATATACAGGTCGTTATTTCCCCTTTTGAACATCAAATTTATCCCAAAATTTTGGCTTCAGAGAGATCGCCATCGTCGTTTCGTAGGGCTCGTCCGTTTGAATAGTAGGAAGCTTCAAGAAATAATCAGTGGGAAGCTTTTTTCCTTCTCGAGCTATGGGCCGTCTTCTACAGCACTGCTTTTCCAGAAAATTCGCGTTCGACTGTTAGGAGAATTCGTCGGACTATCCAAGATCGTCGCTTTGGTCATGATCTAGATGCTCTGCGATGTGTGGGTGGGATTCAACGTCGTCGTAGCTCTTCCGAGCGGGAGCAGAGACAGCCAAGTTTCCAGTACTTCACTCTATCAGAAGTTGAGCATGCTTCAGATACCAGGTATTCTTGTCTTCAGTGTAGTCATTTAGGCAGCGTTTTTCTCAAAAAGCCTGTGGTTAACGCATTTGAAAGTTAAAGGGTGCTGGTTAGAAGATTCTAAGTCGTGGCGACTTCCATGAACTCTCGACGGCTTGGCATTTCCTTGCTAGTTGACTCGGATTACGGTAGCACTTTCGCGCTAGATTGGTTACATCTTGATGCAAAAGCCCAGCACAGATGATGCGTGAAGAACGCAATTTTTTTGAAATCCAAAATATTGCGCTTTGAAGGGTTTTCATGCATAAATAAAAGCCTTTTGTAAAACTTTAGAGCAACGCTTTGAACGTTCACGTTTCAGGTCCGAAGTGTCTCAGTTCTCCATCTTCACGCGCATCCTAGCTCCGGTAACTTTCCTCAAGCTTCCTTTAGATTGCCTATGCCACCTCCGCGATCCTCGATCTTTGCGCGAGTGAACGCGTGGTTGGCACTAGAACGGGTTGGCAACTAGAGAGGCACACTTTTCCTTGATGGTGCTCGGAAATAAGGCCGGAGAATGGTGAAAGCTAGCGCCGTTAGTTTATCCTTCCGTAGGCAAAGTTCGCAGATACGTGACATGCCGCACTGCCACCACACGCCATGAATTAGGATCCGCGGAGGTGAGTGTACGGTCCGTCTTCAATTAAAGGCAGTTGGCACGATAATTTGGTAGTCGGCCTAAAATGCTAGCAGGGCGCTATATAGTGGGAAAATGGCGAAAGAACGGAGTGAAACGGTCAAAATCCTGCGAAGAAAAAACTTCTTCTCAATGACTTGAAAATCAATTTCGGACGAGTTCCAATAACCGCTACCGAAGATACGGCTGCATGTGTGTACTCATATATCCATGCAGCACCGCCGCCGCTTCATACCAATCCCTTCGCTTCATAATTTGCTTAGCAAATGAATCAATACGAGCGTCAGGAACGGTCGTCCATTTGTGGGCGGGCGGGCGTTCGTCGGTATGTTGTAGCTTGATAGGGCCCTTATAAGGGTACCTTCCTTGGGAAGGCGCTACGCAGCGCCTGCTCAGGGGCGCAAAATTCCGTCCTGCCAGGCATATTAATCCCACTCGTCCTTAGGGATTTATCGTGCCAACTGCCTCTGAACATATTGCGCTGCTGTACTTCAGAGGGGCCAGGCGGCGGCACGGTGGAATCCATTCGTTTTAACAACGAAGCCTCATGCAGACTCTAATCGTCTGCACTCATCCAAGAGACTTTATATCATTTCGTCATGCCGCCTTGTGCCCCGCCCGCTCGATTGCAGAAGCACAATACCTGCTCTTCACTTCGTATTAGATACTCCTTCCAGGTTTTGTACTTGTTCCTCAGAGTTGCACTCAAACCAAGTAACACGATGGACAGCATTCCGTCTGTCCTTTGAAGGGACCTTTTTATCGGCTTTTTTATCGGCTTTCACGACCTTCCATGATGTCATCGACATGAGCTCAGCTAATCAGATTAACTATACTGCATGATTATTGTGTCATAGTTTTCTTTACAATTTACCTATCATTTTTAGTCGTTTATTAAGTGGTCCGAGTAGACATTGTGACATGAATGTGATCGTTCCTATTTATTCTTCTCTTCTCTGACTTGAAATAGGTTGACCACCAAATTTACTCCAGTACTCCCCATCCGTTGTGAAATTGAAACGTAACAAACGTGCGGGTGAATAGTTTGGCAGCATACCTCACCGGTGCGCCCATCTTTAACGGGCGCGTACAGAAGCTGGCTCAACTACCAACTTTAGCATAGATAGTTGTATGACGATTACAATCTTATTTTGTTGTTATTTTTACAGCTGAATAAGACACATTTAGAGTTAATTTTGACAAAATCATTCCAACTTTGAACTGAACAGTAGGCGCTCGAATAT